TGCTCTGGTCCTCTTCCTCCTGTCGCTGTCGCTGGTGGCTTCGGAATCTGTCGCGGACGCGGCCATACCCCTTCCTGGCGGCCAACGTCGCCCGTCATGGTATGTACATATATGTATATGTATGTATATATACACATAGATACATGCAGACATCTCTGTGGAAATGTATGTATATATACACACAGTGTGAAAACAAACACAAGTTGCGATTAACATAAGGAATCGTCAAGGAGAGAGGCACATGGGGGAGGAAATCCTGCTCCTTCTCCTGCTCCACTTCCCTCCTCCTCCTCCTCCTCCTCCTTCGCATTCCTTCACCTCCTTCCGCTTTCCTACCTCCCTCCCTCTCCCTCCCCCCGCTCTCCCGCCCTCCCTCCCCCCCGCTCTCCCGCTCTCCCTCCCGCCCTCCCCACTCTCCCTCCCTCCATCCCTCCTTCCCTGGCCCCCTCTTCGTCGGGACTTTGAGAACCCAGGACAAACGGCGCGCCCGAGAGAACCGCATCCCTTGCCTTCCACCCGGGGTCTTCACAATATGGACATCAACGCTGTCATGGGGGGCCCTGCCTCCCTGGGCCCGGGGCGGCTCGTCGGGCCTCTCCGCCTCCAGCTGCGCCACCGTCCTCGCCAGGGGGGGACCGGCGCGGGGCGGAGCGGGGGGGGGGCCGGGGCAGGGGGACGCGGGGCCTCTGGAGGAGAGGAAGGGGGAGGGATGGGCAGGGGGGAGGAGGAGGATGGGAAGAGTGCGGGGAAGATGGAAGAGGATGGGGGAGGAGGAGGAGGAGGAGGAGGAGGAGGAGGAGGAGGAGGAGGAGGAGGAGGAGGAGGAGGAGGAGGAGGAGGAGGAATAATAATGATAATAATCATAAGAATAAGAGTTATATCAGTAAGAAGAATAATCGTATTAATATAAGAGGAATGATAATACTAATACTCATAATAATCATACTACGAATATGAAGAAGGGGACGGATGGTATAAAGGAAGGAGGGTGAGGGAGCAGAGAGCAGAAGGAGGACGAGGGGGTTCTTGTGGAGCGACCTAAAGTCAGGAAGGAAAACAGCAAACATCGCTCCCCCTCATAATCCGAGGGTCCCTCATCCTCAAGATCCTGGGGAGCCTTGTGGGAGGCCCTCCCGAGGGCCATGACTTGGATCAGGTCGCCTTCGTATGCCGTACGCTCGCAGGATTTCCTCGCGGGTCGCGAGGCCTGGCCGACTCAGGCCAGTCCCTGCGGCGGAAACGGCGGGGGCAGGAGGGGAGACTCTGACAGCCCAAAGATCCCGCTCGGCCGCGCTCAAAGCACGGGATCCACCAAGAGTCAAGCTCGTGGACGAGGCTCGGCTGTGACAGTGCTTGCCGTCCTTGATTCTCTCCAGCTGGCTCCTAACCTGGGGCGACCTGGGCTGACCTTTGCACCCAGGTCTCAGGAGTTGGCCAGGCCTGAGACCTTCACAAGAAGCACCGTACTGAATACGGTACACAAGGGCCATGCAAGCACGCTGAGGGGACTCAAACTCGCAGCGTATTCGGACACGACCCTTGAAATACAAGGCCATGATGGCCACATCGGCCCAGTCCGATATCAACTCACAACGCCTCGCCAGCTTCTGTCTCTTGTAAGGAAGAAGAGAACGAGGAGGAGGAGGGGGAGGAGGAGGAGGAGGAGGAGAAGGAGGAGGGGGATGAAGAAAAGAAGGAGGAGGAGGAGGAGGAGGAGAGGAGGAGGAGGAGGAGGTGGAGTAGGAGGAGGAGGAGCCTGAGGAGGAGAGGAGGAGCCTGAGGAAGAGGAGGAGAAGGAGGAGGAGGAGGAGGAGGAGGAGGAGAAGGAGGAGGAGGAGGAGGACGAGGAGAAGGAGGAGGAGGAGGAGGAGGAGGATGAGGGGGGAGAAGGAGGAGGTGGGGGGGGCGGATGGGAACCAAGGGGCGGAGGAGGAAGTCTGCGCAGGGCCACACTGAAGCCGCCTGGATCCAAAAGCGATTGGCGGTGACCGCCCCGCTCGCCACAGCCTTCTGGCCTCGCGGGTGGGAGGCGGAAGACAGCGGCAGCGGCAGCGGCAGCAGCAGCAGCAGCAGCAGCAGCAGCAGCAGCAGCGGCGGCGGCAGCAGCAGCAGCGGAGGCGGCAAGCTAATGGAAAACAAAAGCACACCATATATACATACACACACACACACTTCTGGAGTTCCACGCGGATTGCTGAGATCGGCGCTCGAACGCGGGCCCCACTGGCGTGTGGAGTGCGCCAGTGCAGCGCCAGGGGGGCTCAGCGCCGAGCCAAGAAATCAGGGCGGAGCTCCTAGAAATACTGTTGTGTTTTTTGATCTTCGACGGAAGCACTAGAGGCCTCCTCGATGGGGTCCGAGTAGATGGGATCGAAGGATCTCGCCGCATCGCCGATACATCGGCGATGCATCGCCGATGCATCGGCCATGCACTGGCGACGTCGGCGATGCATCGGCAACGTCGGCGTGGAGAAGATGGGGCCCCACATCCAGCCGCATCGCTGATGCATCGCGGATGCATCGGCGATGCGGCGCGATCCTCCGACCACCTCTACTCCGACCCCATCTAGGAGGCCCAGAAATGAAGGGGCCCTGGAACACACAAACAAATACACACAAATAACAAGATTCCCCATATTTTCCCATACTTTCTGGCTTTTTGTCTTCCCCCCACCTCCCATATTTTCCCATATTTTATGGGGGATCGAGGATTCATTGTCTCTGTGTGTTTCTTCCCCTCCGGAAGAAAAGACGGGCGAGGCAGGCGATCCACGCAGCGCCCTCGGCGTCGCGGCGCCGCCGCTCCAGCCGCACGATCTCCTCCGCGCACTCCCTCCGAGAGGCCTCCACGGCTCCCCGCTCGCTGGCCACCTCGCGGGGGGGGGGGGGGCGCGGCGGCCGGGGCGTGCCTCGTTCGGCTCGCGCGAGGTGACTTGCCTGGCCTCCCCCCCCGCGCGGTCCTTCCGTGGAGGGCGTGCTGCTCTAGACTCGCGCGAAGTTGCTACTCACTCGCATGCCCCCCCCCCTCCCCCCTTCCGCCGCCCCTGCAGGCCGCGCCGAGGCCGAAGCGGCGCGCGAGCGGGTCCCGACTCGCCCGAGGTCCAGACCTCCTCTCGGGTCTCGCCACGCCCTCAGCGCCCCCCTCCGTGCAAGCGGACTCGACAGAGCCGCAGGGCAACACCACACGGCGCCTTGGGGCCTCCCGAGCTCGCGCCCGGGCCCCGTGAGGGGCGCGCCGCCCAGCGATCTCTCTCCGCGCCCGCGCGCGGCCGCCTCTTTCACCGACGCGGGGGACCTCTGCGGCCTCGGCCGCGAGGCGCGGTGCGCAGTCGCCTTCGCAACCCATGCGGGCGAGGGCGACGACGCGGCTGGCGGCGAGGACGACGGCGAGGACGACGACGAGGCCGACGAGGACGACGGCGGGGCCGAGGGCGAGGACGACGGCGAAGGCGAGGGCGAGGCAAGATGTGGTTCTTGCTGTTCCGTGCGTCGCGGTCGTCCTCGTTTCTGGGCGGGGCGGGCAAGAAGAGCAGCTCCGCAGAAGGCGGGCGCCATCGCCGTTCCAAGAAGACGAGAGGAGATCGAGGCCGAGGCGCCTGGGCCGCGCCTCGCCTGGGCCTGGGCCACCGACTAGAGGCGAGTCTCCCCATGGAACGTGTCCCACACATTCGCCCGCTCCTGGTCCTCGTTCCCCCCCCCCCCTCCTGCTCCCCCCCTGTTTCTCGCCGTTCGCTCCTGTGCCGTGCTCGTCCTCGCTTCCAGGGTCTGGGGATGTTGAGCTGATGTAGGTTGGGGGCCCGCAGCGGCCCAGCCTGCGACACGTGGTGCCGGTGGAGTAACATCGGATGTATGGGAAAAGGGAGAAGGGGGGAGGAGGGGAGACATACTTAGGATTCGGCGTGCGCAGGCCGTATGCGTGCCAGGGGCACGTTGTCCACCCCAATCGCCTACTCCAACCGTGCCGCGCGGAGTGGGCGAAGACCGAATTTGGGCTCCTCGCCGTGCTGTGCTCCACGCCGTAGCATCCCCCCCGCTCAACTAGTTATCAGTGGCATCGCCTTCAGGCTGCTCGGCCACGCGCTGTGCGGCGTGGCCTGGCAGCTCGCAGCGGCTGCCACGGAGGAGCGCCTCCCCCGATGTGAGCAAGCGCTGCGCCGCTTCTGTCGAAGCGGTCCGCACACACCGCCCATGCAAAACGGTCCACGAACACCGCACTGCTTCTCTTGATGCGTTGGACGTCTGGGGGGCGGAGGAGGAGGAGGAGGAGGAAGCCATTTGGCCTCTTGCGGGCCAGCCGATCCCGATCGATCCATCGGGGTCGGTCGGCGCCTGCCGCCCGATCGATCGCGGTGGCAGGGCGCATCGCGCATCGGCCAGCCCCCGAGGCCGGGCTCACGCGCGCCGCGCGCCATATTCTGCGGCAGGGGGCCACCCGTGCCTCCCTGTCCCCTGCCGCAGGCCGCGGCGCTCGCGGCCGCGCTGCGGCCCAGCGGCGGGACGCCGCGACATCGCCGAGGAGGAGGTCCAGAGGGCGCTGCCCACCGCCGCGAGCGGCAGCAGAGAGCCCAGGACAGGCTCCTGCTCCGCCTGCGGGCAGCGGCCGAGCGCCTGGCCGCCCACCACTCTGCCCAGCCAGCGATGGCCCGTGACGGTAAGGGCAGAGGCGGTGGTGGCCGCAGCGGCAAGGGCCAGGCCCAGGAGGAAGAAGCACCGCCAGCAGCGCCCCCATGGCGCCAGGAGAGGTGGCATGGCGCTGGCTGGCGAGGGCAGCACTGGCACGCCGAGCCAGCAGGTGAGGACCCGCCCTGGCGCAGGGAGCCGTCGCGGCCACGACGCTCTGGCCAGGCCAGCCCTCGCCAATGGCAGCAGCAGCAGCAGCAGCAGCCCAGTCAGCCTCCCTGGCAGCAGCAGCAGCAGCAGCCCAGGGCGGGCAAGGGTGGCCAGGCCAGCTCCAGCAAAGCTGACCAGCGAGCTCAAAAGGTCATCGACTCAGTGGCGGCATGCACGCTGGACGAGGCCACCACCCACCCAAAGTGGCAGGCCCCCCGGCCGACCGCGCAGGCATCCAGAAGTTTCTGAGCACCGCCGGCCAGAGGCTGAGGAAGCTTGGCGACCTGGTCATTGCCAAGCAGGCCGCGGGGGACAGCACGGAGGAGCAGTTGAAGGAGATCGCGGTCATCAAGTATCAGAAGCTGGTCACGAGAAGGCCGAATGACCAGCTGCAGGTGCTCAGCAAGAGGCGCAAGGCCGTCAAACTCGAAGTCGTCGCCCTCGAGGCCAAGACGAACGAGCTGCGGGACGACCTCAAGGCCAAGCAGCAGGAGTTGAGGCAGCTCGAGTCCAACATCGCCGACGTGAGGGCCGTGCTCGCCGACGGCGGCGCGGCGGACGACGAGGGCGACTGGGACACGGGCGGGTTCGGCTTGGCACCGAGCTGGGATGCCTTCCACAAGGCCGTGATCGACAGGCGCCTGAACAGCGAAGCACCTGGTGACGGATTCCCAGCTTGGCCAGCGGGAGTGGTGGGGCGATCGCCACGCTCAAGGGCCAGCTCGGCAGGCAGCGCAACCAGAGGCTTCGCAGATCAGGTGGCCAAGGCGAATGCGGAGCGGGCCCACCAGCAGCAGCGCCGTGCCGAAGCCGAGCAAGAGTTTGCTGCCGAGCTGGCGGAAGTCAGGAGAGTCGCCCGAGAACAAGCACTCCGCCACAACGGCGAGCAGGCGAAACTCAGGCTGGCACTCAAGGAGGAGTCAGAGCAGCTGCAGCGCATCACCGCAGCGGAGAGCGCAGCCCAGCAGCAGCAGCAGCAGCAACACAAGGCCCTCCGCCATGAAATCAAGAGGCAACAAGCCGAGCAGCTCGAGTTCGCGACGCAGATGGAGGCCAGGATAATCAGCCATGACACAGCCTTCAGTCAAGCCAAGGCAGAGGCCGAAGCCGCGACCCACCGGGCAAATCGCCTGCATGAGCAGCTTGAGCAAGTTCGAGCGGAGCACCGGGAGAAGCCGCAACCCCAGGACAGGGTCTACCAAGACCTGCTGCGGGCAAGAGCCGAGGCGCAAGAGGCACTGCGACGGGCCCAGCACGAGAGCGCCCAAGCGACAGCTACAGAGGGCACTCTCAAGCAGCAGCTCGCCAGGCAGGAGCTGGTCATGGAAGAAGTTCCAGGAGGCCAAAAAGAACCACGCCCTCGAGATTGAAGCTGCCGCCGAATCAGCCAGGGTCCAGGCAATCGCCCAGGCCCAAGTGGTTGCCAATGCCAAGGGAAAAGGGGCCCTCCCGCCGGCAGAGGCGGCCAGGCTGCAAGGGATCGTCCAGACAGCAGCACGGCAGCAGGAGCGGCTCAAGCAGACCAAAAGCGAGCTCGAGGCAGCTGAAGCCCGCATACACGAGCTCCAGCAGTACTCCAAGCTTGAGGCGGGCGCTGCGCAGCGTGCAGTACAAGTGGCATACCATGAAGCAGCGGAGCTGAGAAGCGCCAACAAGGAGCGGCAAATCCCGCACGAGGTGCAGGCATTGCAGTTCGCCCTGCTAAGGACTAGAGCAGAGGAGGAGGAGATCGCGAAGGCCAGCCTGAAGGACAAGGAGGCAATGCGGGCAGAGCTCGAAGGCAGTGCTGAGCGAATAAGGTCGAGTCTCACCCGCCAAGTCATGATAGAAGAGGCGAACGCACATGACTTGCAGCTGCACACAGAGAGCCTGCGACAGGAACTGAGCAGCTACGCGGTGCAGCTGAGCGAGCAAAGGTCCAACGCAGAGGTGCAGGAGCAGGCGCTGGAGGAGGAGCTCGCCCAGGCCCTCACCTTCAGGATCGCCAGCATGGAGGAGGCCTCCGCCATGGAAGACTTCGCCAGCCAGCAGAGGACGGGCAGGGAGGAGGCCATCCACCTCGCGCTGCAAGAAAGCCTCCAGCGCTCCAGCACGCTGCACACCGAGCTAGACGCCATCGCAAAGAAGGAGCAGCAGGGCGCGTCGGAGACAGAGGAGCTAAAGCTGAGGATGCAGAGCCTGGAAGCCATTGCAGCCAGCAGGGAACGTGAACGCAAGGCCATGGTCAACCTGTACGCCGAGATGAGGCAATACGGGCAGGAGGGCTACGACTTCACCAAGAGGGCAGCTCATCACCTCGTCCAAGGGGGCCACCTCCCAACGTCCCAAGAGTCCATGGACGACTACCAGGAGGCCGCTAACCTGTACGAGGAAGCCAGAGGAGCAGCCGAGGCAGCGACCGCCACAGCGGAGCCCCCCGTTGCGACCAATCTCCAAACTGGTGCAGCTGAGGAGCGCCCAGCCAACAGGGGCCGCAGGCAGAGCAGCTCCTCTCCTCGGAGGCCAGCATCAACCAGGTCAGCCAGGTCAGCAGCCCGCCAGACCGACGAAGGCGACGCCCCCCTCATAGAGCGTGACAGGTCCAGGGGCCCCGACAGGCCAGACCCGCACGAGGAGGCAGAAAGATACGAGCGCGAACAAGATGAGTTGCGCAGACAAGCTGCTGTGGAGAAAGCACAATGGGAAGCCGTGCAGATGGAGGAGGAGCTGGAGTCCGTATTGAGGGACCACGAGGCGAAGGAGATCCAAAGGCGCTACTACGAGGAGGCCCCCTTGACCCAGTTCGGCACAGCGGGCGCGCAGGACTCTCGAGCGGAGGACGACGGCTCGGAGCACGCGCCGATGATCTACCCCGCCAGGTGTGGCCGCCCTGGAGCCAGGATCACCCCACGCCCGAGGAGGGTGAGGAGATGAGGGGGATCACGCAGCACGAGGCAGACACAGACCTGGCATCCACGTCAAGGGCTAGCTCGGTACCAGCAGAGCAAGGCGACCCTCCTACCCCGACAGCATCTCAGGTAATCTTCATCCCAGCATCGCCAGCGCCACTCAGCGAGAGGTCACTCACGCCCACAGTTCCATTCGGGCATGATGAGCAGCGTGGCCATGGAGGTGGAGAGGGAGCCGACAGCTTCGTATTGACCCCTCCCCCTGCGTCCCAGCAGAACGCGGAGGCGGCAGCGGCCAGCATCGAGAGGCAGTACGAGGGCATCGACATCATGACGCGCCAGCACACCTCAGCCGCCGCCGCAGCTGCAGCCCTCGAAGAGGCGTTTGGACCCGCGCCCGCATTTCCAGGAGAAGACATCAGCCAGGCCCACAAGGGTCAGCGGGTAGACTCTGGAGAGTCAGGCATAGCACGTTTTCGTGGCCGAGTGGCCCGCAGGAGGGACGAGACAAGGGGGCGCAGCAACCCCCTCCCCTCCTGCAACTCCTGGAGCCGAGGAGCAGGCAGCAGCAGCGCCCGCTGAATCCCCCCGAGGGGGGGGGGGGCCTAGCAGCGCCGCCAGGATTCAGGTCATGCGTGACAGAATTCACCGCCAGGAGGCGGCCGATGAGTCCAACAGGGCAGAGTACGACGGATGTGGGATTTCGTCACGCTCTCCGATCAGTTCGACAGCATCGATCTCCTGGGCAGCATCGGGGAGAGCAGCTGGGGCCCAAAGCCCGCAGCACGGCAGTGGGGTCCTCCACTACGATGCTCGACCTACCCACCACCAGAGGCTTGAAAGCACGGCGGGCCCTGGGGGTAATGGCGACAGCCGTCTTGTAACAAATAGACCAGCGGAGATTCCGACAATCTCACGCACCAGATCAGGTACTCCCAGGAGTCCAGGGTCCCGAGGGGCCACGACTCCAAACAGATGTGATACCGCAACGGGCATTGGCAGTGGGATGGCCACTCCCAATCGCAGCAGCCAGCATCAACAGCGGTATCAGTCACCTGGGTCTCGAGGGGCCAACGTGACACCACCACGGCCGACACGAGGGCCGCCCGCCGCGTCTCGAGGGGCGCTAGGCGGCAACCAAGGAGGCACACTACCAGGGATGAGTGATGCATCCGCCAATCCGTCAGCACTCCAGGTCACAAGCCACCAAGATGGCTGCAAGGATGCGTTACCGGCTGCCCTTGCACTCAGTGCGTCCCCCTCCGCCATCCGAGCCCACGAGATCGAGAACGTGGAAAGGACCTTTCTCGACGGTCAAAACTCGGCTGGCAGCGAGGCAGAGGATGGCATGGAGCAGTGCTACGAGAACTGGAGGCAAGCGTGCGCAGTCGCAGCCTTCCGATCAGCCCAGCGGAGTGCACGCCGCGCACGGCGCGCTGCGGAGAGCCACAGTCGTCGGGACAACAGCAGCAGCCACAACAAGTGCCATGCCCTGGCGGTGGATCCAGACCCGTCGGACTCAGCAGCTCAACCAGCAGCACCAGTGGCCCAAGTCCCGACGGACCCAAGCAGCTCACCACGGTCCAGCAGGTGGAAGCCAACGCTCCCCTCGGCATCAGCGCGCTCCCACCACGGCACGGGTGCTACCAACCACCCAGACGCCCTGGATGGCGAACCTCATCGTCTACGTGACAGCATGCTCCACGCCCAATCACGCGAGCCCCTGTTCAGTCAGGCCGCGCGGGCTGGATCGGACAACTTGAACTTCGATGAGGAGAGCCAAATGCCATCACTACCACCCGTGAAGCGGAGTGCGCCTCAGGCTGGAGCCATATCACTAGCCCCACCAACACGTTCTCCGACACCACGGCCACCTCCAGCACACATCACCACCACACCAGGTCCCATTCTACAGGGCATGGGGCTGGCGCCAGGCGACGACATCGAGTACTCCCCCGAGTACGTCAATGCAGAAAGGGCCAGGCGTGGCCGAAGGCGACGGCAGATCCCCACCACGACAGCACGAGAAAGAGGCCAAGCGACAGTGCTGCCAGTTCTCAGCCAAGACCCAGTAGCCGAGACCCTTCGCGGCCGAGGCCGCGTTAACGTCTGCGACGACGTCGACACTACGACCCTGCACAGCATGGCAAGGATGGCGCTGGAGATGTGCCCATCACGCGAGCTGCCGACCAGGCGGACACACATCTACACGGACGGCAGCTACAACGGCATCCCACATACAGCCGCCTGGGCAGTTGTCATTGCCGACGAGTACGACGACGGGCGCAACTTACGAGGCCCGTTCGGCTTTCGGGGTTTCATTGCTGGCAAGGTCACCGAAACCCTAGACGACATGGCAAACAACGAGAAGGTGACGGCATACACAGCTGAGCTCACGGCAGTACTCTGGGCACTGATGTGGGCCCTTGGTCAAGACACCGACGCGCCCATCGAGATCACGCCTGACGCCCTCAACGTCATCAACCTGGCCAAAGGCGAAGCCCAATGCCACGTACATCCGAGGTTGGGGGCCGTCATTCGCACACTTGCAGGCCTCCTCCAACAAGCCCGACCTACCCAGTGGCACCATATTAACTCGCACATCGGGCACCCTTGGAACGAGCTCGCAGATGGGATAGCAGATCAAGCCTCGGCCAGCGACCTGATGGACCCGAACATTGCAGCTGTACAGGCGATCGCCCACAACAAGTTTCTTTCCTGGGAATGGCTGCGATCAGAGCCAGATGCGGTCAAGGCCGCATACCCGCCCCTGCGGAACAAAGACTTCATCATCGAGGCCACTCAGCCGCAGGCAGCCCCAGGAGCGATCCAGAGGCCCATCAGCACCACTACTATCAAGGCCGACCTCAACGTGAATTTGTGCACCTACAACTGCAGATCACTCAAGGCCACCGTTAGCTTCAAGCCGGGCAAAGGCAAGGCGGCCGGCAAAAGCAAGCAGAGCCTCTCCAAGGTCACGCACCTAGCAGCACAATTTGCTGACATGGGCCTGCACATCGTCGCCCTGCAGGAGACGCAGAGCGAAGGAGACGTCCGCAATGTAGGTGAATACGTTTGCTACTCATCAGGCCACACGCAGCAGAACAGAGGATGCGACATCTGGCTCAACGTCTCCCAACCAATCAGCTCGAGTGGGGCAGCGAAGTACCTAAGTGCCAAAGACACCCTCGTCCTCCACCAGCACGACAGGCTCTTGATCATCAAGACCCGCGTTGCAGGCACAGATATGGTTATCGCATCCGCATACGCACCCCACGAAGACTCCCACGCGGCGGAGAAGAGAGAATTCTGGGAGTCTGCTCAGCGATTGTCTGACAAGTACCGAGTGGACATCTTCATGGGGGACCTGAACGGGCGTCTTGGCGACTACGAGTCCCCAGGAGTTGGCACCAGTGGGTACCCAGAAGCGACCAACGGCAATGGCAAGCACATCGTCAGCTTCACTGCCGACACCAACATGGAGGTCATCAACACCACGAGGGATCCAGGCAACAACTCATATACGCACGTCGGATCGAAGGGGCAGCGCCGCAGGATAGACTACATCCTGCTGAGCTCCCCGATCGCCCCGTACGTCGCGAGCTGCAGCACGGAGACAGGTCTGGACCGAGGCACAGCTGCACAAGACCACATACCAGTACTAGCCACCCTCAAGTGGGCCGTCTGCAAGACCACCAAGGCCTCAGGACCGAGGCCCGACCTGACCAACCTGAACAATGACGTCGCCAAGGCCAGCTTCAAGGAGATTCTCAAGCAGGCCCCGATCATCCCCTGGGAGGTGGACGTCAACACCCACTGCGAGGAGGCCATCAGGGTCATCAACGACGCCGCCATCCAGGCCTTCGGCAAGGCCTCCAAGGCAACGAGGAAGCCCTACGTCACCAAGACCACCATGGGCCTGATCCGAGCCAGGCGCCTCACACTCCGAGTCCACCGTGCAGTGCTCAGAGGAGAAGCCCACGACGACCGACCTGGACGACTAGTAGCCCACGCCCATTCTCTTCGTGCAGGCGAAGTAGGGGACTCACTCTCCCTTTGGAGCAGAGAGCGTGGCGACGACGATGGCACCATCCACGACATCCACCACTACGCGCACCTCCTCCTGAACTGGACAATCTCGCCCATGGTCTACGCCATGGCCATCCTTTCCTTCCTCACCAGGTCTGGGCCCATAGTTGCCGCGGCCGTCGAGAAGGACCGCAGCGCATTCCTCAGTCGGCTTGCCTCGACAGCGTCCTCCGCCTCCGCTGCGAACGACGCTGCGGTCCAGTGGAAGGCTTACCGAGACCTACTAAGGTATGGAGGGAGGAAGGCGAAATTCCCAGCAGGAAAGCCTATGCGGCTCGACAAGGATGGAGAGGTGATCCACAACTCCCAGGAAATGGCGGACCAGGAGCTTAACCATTTCGCGAAGATACAGGCGGGGAAGATCGTGACAGCGGATGATCTTGCTAACAAGTACAA